TATATATACAAATTTGAGAGGCAAATGGGAAAACGGCTTTGAGATTTTTATAAAATATTTATACATGTTATATAATTAAATTCATTAAGTCATAAAAACCCATTTTGATCAATTAACATAGATAAATCACAAAAAAAACAAAACAAAAAACAAAAAAAAAACAAGAAGTACAGTTGTAGGCCTACTGTAAAAAAAGGAGAAACGATAAACATTAAATAACACGTCTCTTAAAAGCACGATTATACTATCAAATTTAGGCTTATAATATCAGGGAAAAGAATATAAAGGTCATGTGCACCAACTGAAAAGACACATTTATTAAAATAATTATTATTTAGAATGTGATGCTCCCTCACTAATTGAATCAAACAACTCATTTCGAAAATCGGAAAAATGAACACTGATAAGAAAATGAAATTCGACTTCAATCTGACTGGTATCACAGACGGTACAAACAACGTTAGAACATAATTCCTCCATGGTTAGAAAGAGGAGTACGGTAACTGAGAAGGTATGGCACCCTTTTCTATCACGAGGGAGTTATGCACGTGTTCTTAGTATTTTAGTAAAATTGCATAACATACCGTATCGATATCAAATAAATTAGGCCTGTTAGTACTATAATTTTCCATGGTAAATGTGTTTTTAAAAAAGACAATATGTCCGAATTTGCAAGTGGTTGATATCATTAAGCCAAGCAGAACAAAATTCATCATGTAATTTGTCAGTAACGTTACCCTCTAGCTAAGACGCACTAAGTGAGTTAGGTTTAGTCCAAACATTTATAACAACTTTATGATTGAGTAAAGAATGAATTTCTGATGAACAGGTGAATATTGTATAGAATTATTCAGATGCCTTACATTCATTACCGGTACGTTTACAATACGCAATTGCTTGTACTATTGCGCTTAATAGAAATAAAATTACTTGGAAGACCCGGGCATTGATCCCGGTACCTCTCACATGCGAAGCGAGCGCTCTACCATTTGAGCTAGTCCCCCAATTGCGTAAAACACATTCAACTAAACGTTCCGAATTGATAGATATACAGTAAGTCATCTGGAACGATGTGTTATGACGTTATGAATGATTTCTCATGGTGATAGTGAAATGGCTTATGAAAAAAAGAGTACAAAACCTGTTTCCCGTAACCTTCTTCCCAGTGCTAAAAATGATCATCAATATTTTTTCCATGTTTCATGTACGCCTTCATCTCTTAACCCCTCACAAATCGTGTAATTGTATTCTCGTGTAAATACTGACATGGGGTAAATAAAACTACAAATGCCTTTAAATGGGCAATTATTTTATAGTGAATAGTGTTTACCCTCTAGCTAAGACGCACAAAGTGAGTTAGGTTTAGTCCAAACATTTAACAACTTAATGATTAAGTAGAGAATGAATTTCTGATGAACAGGTGAATATTGTATAGAATTATTCAGATGCCTTACATTTCATTACCGGTACGTTTACAATACGCAATTGCTTGTACTATTGCGCTTAATAGAAATAAGATTATTTGGAAGACCCGGGCATTGATCCCGGTACCTCTCACATGCGAAGCGAGCGCTCTACCATTTGAGCTAGTCCCCCAATTGCGTAAAACACATTCAACTAAACGTTCCGAATCGATAGATATACAGTGAGTAATCAGGAACGATGTGTTATGACGTTAAGAATGATTTCTCATGGTGATTCCCCGACTTCTTAATATTATCAGCAAATACAATGACCGAACCAAGACAGGGGAGAAACAATCACTGCACTAGGTTATAATATTCGACCGAAATAAAGATTTAAATGGAACTCATATTAATAGGTTGACAAATTTAAAAAGTAATATAAATATACGGTACCGGTTTATCTATAATTGTAATTTGTATAAACTGATATGATGAATGTATGTAATTCTAGTTGAAGTATACTCTGTATTAAAGTATTGTTTTTTTAATGGTGTATAGTAGGCTTATATCATTACATACAGTATAATTGTAATCTTCTTTAATGTAAATATAAATATGTAATTGTAGTATAAGTCTAATCTATTTGTAATGGAGGTAGTCAATTAGATTGTATTCACTATTACCATGGAGGAAATATATTAAAATTAATATATTTCCTCCATGCTATTACGGAAATAAACTAAATTACTGTGCATGTCTCTCTATAACTGTCATTAACGCAAAAAGAAATATTAATTATACAGGAGTGATAATTCAATCAAAACAAATAAAAAATTATAAAATATTAAGATTTTATAACCCTACATTCATTAATGAATATGACGTTTTACTTTCAAATTACTATTATTAAAGGGACCTATTTAATTGAAAGTAATTTTTAATGGAAGTCGGGACAAGCCCTTTTATAAATTTAAATAAATTTAGAATACTAAATATTAGACAAATACCATAACATACCAGAAATAAGATAAACTTAAATATTTTATGTGTACTCTATCAATGTAATGGAATATTTATTTTTGTTAATAGTAAATGTATAACCTGCTAAATAAAATATTCTGTTTTAATTAGTTTGTATTCACTATTATCGAAATATACTAGTTTCAATCAAAACAGATAAAAAAGTAAGATCTTATTAGAACCTACATTCATTAATGGATATGACTTTTTACATTTACATTATTATTATTAAATGGAAGTATTTAATTGAAAATAATTTTTAAAGGAAGTAGGGACAAGTATTTTTAGAAATTTAAATAAATTTAGAATACTAAAATATTAGACAAATACTATAAAGATAGACAAATACGATAAATACTATAAAGATAGACAAATACTATAAAGCTTTAAAGTTTATTATTGTTGAAATAATTAAAAAAGAAAAAAGAAGAAAACTTTAAGCACAGTGATTACTGAAATCTACAATGGTTATTTACATACATGCATGTTGTCAAAACTGTTGAATAAATTAAAGGCGTATAATAGCAAGTCATAGTGTTATAATATTCTATAGTAAAGCTAATAAAAACAGACCCACCCAACATTGTCCACCCCACTACCCACCCCACATTAACAATGGTATATTCCATTTTGGGTCTAAATAGAGTATGTGCTTTCAAAGATAAGTGTATTAAATACATACTTTTATAGATACGTTAAATAGTAATATAAATTAAATAATAATCATAGTAATCATTAATTACATGAGAAATCATTTATAACGTCATAACGCATTGTTCCAGATGACGCATATCTATCGATTTAAAAAAGTCTAGTTGGACGTGTATGATAACGTAATTGGGGGACTAGCTCAAATGGTAGAGCGCTCGCTTCGCATGTGAGAGGTACCGGGATCAATGCCCGGGTCTTCCAAATAATTTTATTTTCATTTAGCGCAATAGTACCATAGCAATCGCGTAACGTAAACGAAATGAAATGTAAGGCATCTGAATAAATCTATATTCACCTGGTCATCAGAAACTCATTATCGTGAAAATAATGGGAATAATGGGGTAAGTGAATGAGCATGTGCTTTCAAAGATAAGTGTAGGCCTAATAGATACATATTTTTATAGACAGGTTATATAGTAATATAAATAAAATAATAATAATATTAATCATCATCATCATCATCATATATACCAGTTTGGGAGCCATTATTCATTCATTATTTCATATTATGTAACGCATACGCATATCCTCCTATCCCAAACTGGTATATGGAAATAATTATTAATATTATTATTATTTCATTTATACTACTATTTAACGTAACTATAAAAATATGTATTTATTACACTTATTTTTGAAAGCACATGTTCATTTATTTACCCCAATATTTTCACGAGAGTACAATTACGATTTGTGAGGGGTTGAGACAAAACAAAAAAGAAAAAACAAAACAAAAAAACGTGAACTTAATAGTGATACTTTTTAGCACTGGGAAGAGGGTAACGGGAAACAGGTTTTGTACTCACTTGAAAACAATTGTTTAAATAGTTTAAAGATGCAACTAAATCTAAGATAATCTTGATACTTAAAACACCATTGGGCCTAAATATGAATATTTCTATAATATTAGCTTTCATAATTTCTAAAAGCACGTAAAGTTCTAAAAAACGCTTGTAAATCAGGTTTTTCTTAGGAGTAATGTTTTGTCGTATCGAATACCGGTACTCAATACGCTCTCAAATACTTGCAAAAGAAAAGAAAAGAAAAAAACCGGGGGTCTAATGGTTATGACACCATAGGCTAGTTATCTGTATGTCGTGGGTTCAACTCTCGAGTCACCACTCTTATGATTTTTCCTGAAGCAAGCACTCATCAAAATAGCATTTGCATTACCGGCTGCTACTTGAGGATTGGATAAACTCACAAAACGCAAGCTCTGTGGCCCGGTGGTAGTAATCTGAAGGTCGTGGGTTCAATTGCCATCTGAATCATTTGCGATTTCGGAAAGTACTAAGTACTGTATTCGGTACGATAACACGACAGGTAGGACAAAATATCACTCTTAATATTTTCCTGACGCAAACACACATCGAAACATGCTTCTTATCGTGACTCTTCGAAAGTTCATAATGCGGTTTTTTTTTTTTATAAATGCAACAAATATTAAATTTAATTTCGGCTTATCAGACATACGATTTCAAATTACCTAGGAAAACACGAAGCTCATCCATTCATAACTTACAAATATCTTGCTGACTGTGTCTATCATTTTTCCTTAGCTCCTAATGAACAAGTTATAACAGAAGAGGGACTAGAAATAACATTCGCCACCAACCATCTAGGACACTTCTTGCTTACCAATCTGCTTCTGGGTAAGTCCTTCATAGGGTCTAAAGACCTGTTCAGACTATCAAATTTTATTTGACAAAAACATGTGACATGCCTAAATACGGTCAAGATGATATCACGTCATGACCATATATAGGCACATCATGACTATATATATGGGCATACAACATTTTTTGTCAAATAAAATTTGATAATGTGGACAAGGTTTAAGAAGTCACGGCGTGACTTTTTGAATAAACAATGTAAAGTTGTAGAGAAACTTAAAAGATTGTTTGCTGGTCAGCCAATTAGCCTACATCTTGCAAGTTTATGTTGCGCATTTGTGGCGTTGTGAATTTGGAATTATGGCTACCGTACATATGACAGACGATAAATAAAGAAATTGATTTTTTGACATAGGCCTAAAGACTAAATAGATCAATAGTATGATATTATGATAAAAGTTCAATGTATTTAACAGGGAAGTCTAGCAAAGTCTCGGGTACAAATGAAAGATTTTTTTTTTCATATAACAATAAATTTGTTCTACAGAAATGTACTCATCAATTTATTAAAAGTTTATTCCACTTTTAGATCTATTGAAGAAATCTGCACCCAGCCGCGTAGTAGTTGTCGCGGCGACGGCCTATCGTTTCGGTGAAGCTTCGGAGTTTGAGTTCATGTCGGGATATCCGAACGTAGCAGAATATGCGCCGTTGGGGGCGATGTATTGCCACAGTAAACTTGCTAATGTAATGTTCACACTGGAACTTGCAAAGCGGTTAGAAGGAGCAGGTGGGTAAATCTTGATTAGGTATATGACTAATTATTTAAAAAAAATTAAGATCATAAAATTGGAATAAAGCCCTGTCCAGACTATCAAATCTTATGACCAAGAGTTTTTTTTTGGTCGTGTGAACAGAGTTTTAGGACAACTACTTTTGACAATAAATTATGAAAACAATTGTTGTTTGGTTTTAAGTTGTTGAGGAGGATGACGATGATGGTGATAACATGATGATTATGATAATGATGAGTATAATTAGGATACTTATGAAGATTATGATGGCAATTTGTTGGGATCTACACTAATGTTAACAAAAAAGTTTGTTGATTATCGGAACATTCAGAACGACTGGAATCGTGCCCACAACATACGTTTAACAACCATATAGATTGACAGACTTAAAAATCTCATACCTTACTGAATTTATAATTTCGTTCTCATATTTTACCTGTACAATTTTAATGATTAGCAGGCGTGACAGTGAACTGTCTACATCCTGGTATTGTAAATAGTGAATTTTACCAAAAGTCATCAAAATATCTTCAAAATTTTGGCAGTTTATCATGGTTGTTCTTCAAGGTGAGTACTACTTTGTATATTAGTGACAGTCCTATACTTTCAGAACGTGCAATGTATAAATAATCTGGCCCAAGTTAATACACCTAACAAGAAGATGCTTACTGTAGTCCTAGCACTGTGGTTAGGATGATTGCCTTCAAATTCTAATATATTGGTTCAATGACACGGAGGGTGCCGAAATCACTTGATAAACATTTGAGGTAGGCCGAATGTTGTAATCCAAATGATATCCAGACATGTGTTCTCGAAAGTTGGGCATTCACTGCATCCAAATGTCGTGGCCAACGTGATTCTTGGAGAACGCAACACCACGACATGCACATAACAAATCGTTTAATGACGATCCATTCAGACCAGGGATGGCGCCAGCTGGGTGGGGGAAGGCACAATTTGTCGGTGAAAAAAAACCATTATATGTATTTTCTACATATTAGTAGACTCTAAAATCGATTAAATAAGCCTTTGAAACCCCTAAATTGTACAAATTGACCACTTTCAAAACCTTTTATTCGAAGCTCGACCACGCCCACTTTGCTTTCGTCTGGGAAATCTGGCCCCTCGTCGGGGCATCGGGCCCCCCACCCCCTGTCGGGCAAATCCTGGCGCCACCCCTGGTTCAGACTGCCACTGACAATCAGCAAACGTTTACAAGGAGCGAAGTTGGATTCGTTGTACGACAGTCGTACCCAGCTTAAGACTTAATCCTATTAATTCCATAGGTCTATAAGATCAATAATGCTGATTTTTCATTTTATTGTAGTCGACTACAGAAGGTGCCCAGACAAGCATATACCTAGCGGTTTCGGAGGAAGTCGATGACGTTACCGGCAAATTCTTTTCAAACTGTCGAGAAGAGAAACTCGAGAAGCAGGCTCTTGATGCATATGATGCTAAGGAATTGTGGGAGATGAGCGAGAAGCTTACTAGTCTGTAGCATAGGGCCTGTAACATTTCAGGGGCGGATTCCCTTTTGGGAGGTAAAAAAAAGAAAAAAGAAAGAAAAGAAAGAAAGAAAGAAAGAAAAAGAAAAAAAATGATAGTCCAGAATGCCTCAAATGTTATTTTCGGGTTCGCGGGGGCATGCCCCCGGCCACCCTATGACATTGTTGTCTCGATCGGCCCAAATTTCGCCCCCCCCCCACCCCTTTGGACATCTCTGGATCCGCCCCTGATTTTATACCAAAATAATAAAAGACAACTGACCTAAGTTTAGTGTTTACTTGAACAGTGGTGTATCTAGTAGTATTAAAATGGGGAGGGGGTGTGAAGGTTGAGGAGGGGATCAATGATTAAGTGAGGTGGCATTAGGTTGAAAAAAAGGGTGATAAGAAGTGATTTTTAACAACTTGAGCGTGATTTTTTTTTTTTACTTTGGACATTTTTTCAGTGGGCAAGGGGGCTGACTGGGGGTGCAAGCTTTTTTTTGGGGAAGGGGAACACCACTCTACTTGAATAATCATTTACTTTTTATAGCCTATCAATTCAATTTCAATGACTATTCGTAATGGCTTAGAACCAGTGGCGGATCTTTCTATCAGCCGCTAACCGATGCACATTTTTTAGAAGTTTAAAATGATGATTGAGATTAATAATATTGTGTGGAAAAGCATTCTCACCCCAGTAATCACTACTTGTAAACAAAAGTATTGGTGGATTTACATTTATTGCGGAATAAGAAAACAATGGTGATGAAATACAGCAGACAATTAACAACCAAGTCAGTCTCATAACACTTGACCACAAAGTACCAGTAATCTAAATACTTTGTGGATTATATTTCATAAAACTATCACTATGGATACAGATGATGAATAGTGCCAAATCAAGGTCACTGCTCATACTCAGTTAATATGTGACCAATAAGATGTTTGTTACATACTGTTGTTCCAGTATAAATGGTTGTTCAGGCTCCAATATTAACATGTTAATCATAATTCTGTACCTTTAAATACTATTTATTGATGGACAATAAAGACTGCTTTTCAATACATGTAATGAAAATAAGAATGTATAATACATACTCCAAGTATTGAAACGCACGCAATCGTGTAGGGATTCAATATTTCGACATTAATTATGTTATCATCAGGAATGATGATTCCATTCCTGATGATGACACAATTAATGTCAAAATATTGAACCCCAACACGATGGCATGCATTTCAATACTGGGAATATGTATTATACTTTCTTATTCGAGATTATTCAGTGGACATTTCTGTAATGAAAATGCTATTGCATCAAAATCTGTAATTTATCACTATTAAACTTTGCAAAATAATACTATATAAATGTCATTTATATATTCAATACAGTAACTGAATATGCAAAGAACAAAAATATGAATTTGAACTATATTAAGCTGGTGTTTTTCACATACAATCAATCGAAAATGTTTTTGAGTTATTATAACATTATAAAAATTGTCTCTGGTGAAAACAATGTATTATTACAACATATCAGTTCAATATTATACTATAAGATTATATAATATAATGATTTACATTATAACATTACAAATGGGTGTTATATTATAGATATTACAATATTATACAGTACATTATTATAAACAGTATTCATAACCACTATTATAACACTATACAGTATAATATACTGAATTATAAAAGTATAATACATTATTATAACTTTACTGTATATAGTATATAATATAATACACAGTAATAGTAAAAGTATAGAGTACTGTATATTGTATATGTATGTAAAAGTATAAAGTACAATATGCTACCATAGTATAAAAATGTATAATACTGTATAATAAACACAATAATTATAATATAATTATATAATACTTTATAGGGTATACTACACCACATTATAACTTTGTATTAGTAGCATTATACAAATACAAGTTGTATTATAACACTATACATTATAATTAATATTGCAGAGTACAGTACTGTATTATACAAATAATATATTATACATCATTGCAACAGAGCAATTGGGAGAATGTTGTCATGTAGTATGTATTGAAAAGACTTACAAGGCTTCATTTTATTATACAACAATCTTACAATATGGAATGGACAACTAGAAAAGGTATTGTATGGTGTATAGTCTCAAAGCTTCATGAATATTCATTAAATCATCAAAAAGAATGTGAAGAAGAACTGTGCCTCAGAAAATGACATCCACACTAGAGGGCATTTGTTTATAAGGGCCTCTATAATAAGGTATGTGTTAAGGATATTCTACTCTACTCGAAATATTTTAACAAAATGTCAACGAAACTATGAGTTGGAAGGTTTACTGTACTTCTAAAAACAAAGGCAAGCTTATATGCATTTTCTCATTCTTATACATTTTGCCTCAACAACAAACCAAAAGTAAAACATAATGATGTTTTCAACAATTTCTACCATTTCTTGTTTACTTATGATTTCTTCTGTATGACATAAAAGCAACTTGACTATAAATACTTTCTTCTTAAACATTTTTGAGAAAAATGAATAATATTAATATTACTTAAAATCAAAAAGTGTAAACAGAAATCAATTTTTTGTGTCATGCGCAATAATAAGAAAGATAAAAAATACTATAATTGTAACAACAATAGCAAAGATGATGATAATAATAATGATGGTACTGATAAACAGAATAATGATGATAATGATGAAGGTAATAAAAATAATAAACAATAATAATAATAATAATGTCACCAATAACAAAAATTATAAGAATAATCATGTCATGAAAAATTAATAATAACAACATAATAATAATCCAATATACAATATACTGATTATAAATCAACAGCTGTATTTCCACAAAACTCACTAATTATAAAATTTAGAGAATTTGGTTTCCAACAATACTTTACCTTTAATTAAAACACATAAAAAGGCCCCTAAAAACACCAGAATGAAATACCTGTATGTGAATATTACAAATGAATAACTTTGAATAAATATAAAAATATTTAAAATATTAAATAAAAAGAGTCCAATTTTTTTGATTGATTGATTGAAAGGATTGATACATATTGTTTACCAAACCATACTTATGTCACATTAGATTAAATTTTTGAAATAAATATAATAAAGAATAAAATATTATATTATCATAAATAAATCTTGGAACAAGTTATGTTTACAAAACTAAATTTATGTCACAACAGGTAAACTTTTGTTGAACTTAGTTCAGCCTAAATAGAATATTGAATTAAAACAGCTTACCTAATAAACAATATATTGTTGTTATGAATAAATTGGGTACGTTTACCTAAAATGGATGTGCAAAATTAACCTCTGAACTTCCGAAATAATATAAAGCAATAAAGAATAAAGAAAAATACTGTTATTCTTAAAATGATACAATATATTTTTACAGTAAGATAACTATCGCAATAAAATTATTATGACAATTGCATTTCAAAATATCTTAACAAATGAAGAACACTTTACACAAACAAAGCAATTTTTCATTTATATGCTTCATAAATTTGCAATTGTCTTGTGTAAAATCTTTGACACAAATATATAAATAAATAAAAAATACTTAGATAAAATGTAGCAGATTCATTTTGCCACTACATCATATTTCAAGCGTCCAAAAGCAAAAATCTTTCTAAAATGATTGGATTATTTCAGAGAGAATAGTAAATAAGCCAACATTTTTTTTCATAACTTTTTCACATTATTTTCCTTCTATACAGATACATTTTTTTGCTTTTTCTTTCAAAACATTAAATTTTTTTTGGTCTTTCTTTCGTACATTTCATGATACCATGGTAATAGAATGTTGCACAAATATAAAAATAGTAATGAAATTATAACTTATTGTAACAAACAAGGAAGATACAATCGCCCCTTTTAGCAACCATCTACTGGGACAAGGCATCTGCCAATCATGTTTAACACCATGGTAACCATTTTTGCTGACCACACCTACCTCTGAGGTGATGATCCTAGGATAAAATCACTAGTTTCTTCACACTCATGGGTCTCCTGCAAAAAACAATATATTATTATTTTTATATTAATAAATATTCTCATATTTATTTCATTTAAAATTAAAGAGTATCACACCAATTATAGGATGGAATTATTAATAACCAACAAAAATAAATATACATAATATACAATTATAATAAATATTTTATTTGATTTTATTTCAATTCCACACGAACAGCGTAAATAATAAATATAAAAAAAAAACAGACAAAGAGCTAGAAAACATGTCTCCACTAGGATTTGAACCCAAGACCGTCCAATTACCATTTAAATACTGCACCAATTGAGTTATGAGACCAAGTCTTACACCCATGCATTTTGCAACTAGCAAGGCCAAATAAAATAAATTGTATGTTTGCCCTTCTTTTTTTAAAAATGATAAATATAGGTGGGTGGAAAAAGTTTTAAAAAAAATTTATTTATTTTTTAAAAATACTCATCAGATGGAATAAAATGACCCACAGAGGACTAGAATGGCAATACTGTATCTTACATCAGACAACAACTTTAGACTAATTTGTAGGGCATCTGGCAAAAAATAAAGAAAAATTCACTCACATTTTTTTTTTATTTGTAAAAAAAAAGCTAAAAATAAAACCAACCTTTTTTACGTTTTTCTGCCCCCATTTTTTTCAGTAAGGTATGGGCGGGTGGAGGAGGGCAAGCAAACAATTTTTTTTGGTGGCCTAATATGAAGGTCTTAGTTTTTATACTTGATGGACACATACATTTTATTTTCATTCTTTAATTATCATCAGCGGAGGTGATCATGTCAAAATTATTATCATGGTTGTGCTCAGTAGCATATCCAGAGGGAGTGGGTTCCTAGCCAGGGTTTGAACATAATTTCTAGTTAAGGATGGACTCCCAAGAATTATATCAATCTTAGATTTTCTTTACCGGTGATTAACTAGCAGCTTAAACATGTCTTATAACATGGGGTTTGCCATGGCAAAACCAGCAACAGTGACCAAAATAAGAAAATTGATTATATATATATATATACATATATATATATATATATATATATATATATTACACACAAATGAAAATAAAACAATTGCATACGTTGACATAATAGAGACAAAATTTATTCGAGACGAACACATTTCTGACACGCCTGTGTACTTCTTCAGCGTTTACACGTATGAGAAATACAGAACAGATCAAAATAAAAACTGTAAGAAATTAACCAAGATAAATCCTAAGATAATAGGCACGCAATAAGTAATTGAGAAGTGATTAACCAATAAACAGTCGGTAACATTTGAAAGAGTAGCAAGAGAAACAAAATGTCAGCAATTAAAGGATCTGAGTGCACAATCTAATTGTAATATAGTGACAAAAGGTCTATGTAAATGATTAGGCCTATATATTATAGTTATAATAATGATCAATATTAATATATTATAATAGTTATAATTATTATTATCATAGTAAATTTTATTATTATTATTATTATTATTATTATTATTATTATTATTATTATTATTATTATTATTAATAACAGTGAGTCTACCAGAAATACAGATTCCATTGGACACAATTACAACAAAGTAGGACCAACACAAAGGTGATTTTTATAACCAAAAGTGTAGCTCTATTTTTCAGTAGACTTCTACACGATACGTACTGCGGTCTTCAAAAAAGTCTTGTTTATGATTGGTCAATTGTTAGGTCAACGTAGGTCATATCTATTTGTCGCCGGAAGAGAGAGACCCGTGTGCAAGCTTCGCAAGATTTGCTTGGAGATTCGGGAGGACTATTGCTCTGGTTTTACAGAAATTACAGAGCTATAATGATTGGACATTTTCTGGAATCATGCCAGAGCAGTTCTATTTATGACATAAGCAAATGTAATTGTTAAGTCTAGGCCTGAGATATTGTAATAACATCTCAATTTTTTTCTAGGCCCTAGCTAGGCAGCCCTTTTTCTTGCTTCCCGATCAGTCGCACATACCTTGCAATGTGTTACTCTCCCCGCACAGTGTTTTCTCGGCCAATGCACGCACGTTTGGAGGTATAGAGAAATGCTTACTGAATGAAACTTTTAATATATACACTCATCAGTAAGCATACAGTGTGGAATGGAACTAGAAATGCATACTGATGTTGAACTTTATTATTATACTTTAAGTAGTAGTTAAGACTTATATAGGACAAATACAAGTCCTAGGCCCTACTTCAAGGTGGCGATAGGATTTGCCCGACCGGAGGTCAAAGGTCCCCAACGAGGTGCTGATGCCTCTGATGAAAACAAACTTGGCTTGGTCGGGCGTCGCTGAAAATTTTTCGAAAGTAGTCCAGGGGGCAAGTCCCACATAAATATGACAATTTGAGGGTTTCAAAGGCTATTTAATGGATTTTCCATTTTATTTTTTTCCAGTTTATTATGTAGAATATTTTTATCTCCCCGAGGACGAATTGTGGATTTTCTCCCTGGCCTATCTAGTATTCTTAATTTAGTCCATTGTCTAATGCATTGGCCTTATCATCTGTCATCCAAATTTTTCAAATCGAAGATCGAGGACTTACGATCTGGGCCAAGGCTTAGCCTTGGGAGATTAAACCAACTACTCTACTGCCGTCAATCTGCTCTACAGAATAATAATAATAATATGTCGTTCTTATATAGCGCTTCATTCATGCCTTTACAAGGCCTCTAAGCGCTTCACATTACTACCCCGGTCATTGGATCAAACACATATGGAACACATTGAAACACCAAATTTAATTAGTAAATGAAATTATATTATCATTCCATAAATTGCAGCTAGTAATCACAGCGCAGGTTGTGTTGGAACCTACCAGGTACCCACTTGTACTCCTGGGTGGAGAGAGGCAACCATAGATAAAGTGTCTTGCCCAAGGACACAAGCGATTTGCACAGCCAGAGTTTCGAACCCCCGACCTCAAGGTTGGGAGTCCAAGCCACAACCGGTGCGCCAACCGCTCCTACAATGTACACCATGTAACGAAACAACCCATGTGGTGCATTCTTAAAATATTACACATAGGCCCTATTACTTAAATGCATTTTACGCATCAGATGAGAACACAAAATCATTGATTAAATTATTATTAATGACATTTCTACCACCATTGTGCACATAGGCATAGAGAAATATACAAGCTAGGAAGTTGTTATGTACCCGACAGTCAGCTGCCTTTAGGTCTACTTTGTCGTAAGTTTGTGCCCAAAGGGTACATTACTAGCTAGCCAGTTGTCGTTAATATAATATTAATAACTTTCAAGTAGTTGTCGTCATACAGCCACTACCCTGCATCCACCGTGTTAAAATAACAAATAACAAATTGCGAACAAATGACGTTTGCAGCTAGACTACTAATACAACAACAAGTAAACGTTGCATGGCTATGGATTAGCGAAAAATGGAGCTCGAAAAAAAAAAAAAAAAAGATGCATTTTAGCAAATACTTGAAACATTTAAATGATTTTAAGCCATTGCCCAAATGGCTAAAGCAGTTGGTTATTTTTTCGCCAATCCAAAATAGTTTTTGCCCATGGCGATCGGTTAGTGTGAGCAAAGTAAGGGTTGCCAGAAGGGCAATACCCAAGAAATTTATTATTGCCCGACATTATAAAAGTTCACCACTGGCGACCGGGCGAACGCTAATTTTCAGCCCTGAGTACACAGGTTTAGGATGGCAACCCTCATATGTGGTTAGCAACCTACCTCTGGCACTTCAGGCTCATCGTGGCCAACATGCTCCATGACTTGTTCACTAGCTACCTCCTGTACTTTCTCGATATCTGGAAGTGGAAGATCAATAGGAGGGTAGAAACAGTCTGCCTCTTCCTCAGCTAGCATTTCCTCAAAACAGATCTCAATAAATTCTTCTTCCTCAAGCTCTGCTAGTACCTGGGTCAAAAAACAAAAAACAATGCACACATGGATAAGCACATCTTTTAATAGGGACCTTTCGATTGCACGACGGTAGGACGTAGATAATGACGTCACTAAAAGTCATCTGCGCATGCGAGAACATTAAGTTCTCCTCGTCGCGTAAATTCTAAAATGCAATTTGGCCAAATCTACGAAAGTAGGTTGCTCGGTAGGACGGTCATGCATGAGTGATTCCGTTCTAGCATCGCGTTGTCGAGCAAATCAAAAGCTCCCTAGTGAGAGAGGGCGGCACAACTGGACCATTGCTCTTGTGATTGGCCAAATCCTGGTAGGATTTTAACGACTTGAAATCAATTTAAGTGTAATGTTAAGCGAGCTGCAGGACTGGAAAGACTACATCAACCAGGTTGGGGATGAGGCTACTCAATGTACATAGCGTGATAGTTTATCCAGGAGTAACAACAAGTACATAAATGGCCTAACAATAATGTTCTTCAAAAATCTAGCCTACATAATACAGTGGCAGATTCAGGGGGAGGGGGAAGCATTCGTGGATGCCTCCCCCACCCACTCCTGAATTTTTCAAAGTCATACAAAAATTAAAATTCTATTCAAATTTAAGTTTGAGAGTGTCATTTCAGGACATCTAGAGGTGTCATAGTCATAAATTTCCCCTTCAGCCCCCACCTCATTTTGAGATTCTTAGATACGCCACTGAATTCACATTATAAGTACCTCTTTATCAAACTCTTCCTCTTGGCCCATCCATTCATACTCTGCAAAAGGATTTGAATTGCTGTTCACTTCTGCCTGTTGAACCACTGGGTTCACTGATTTAGTAATTCCAACCATTTCCTGAGAAAACAAGAAAGATGATTAACAAACAAGAAAAACCGATTAAACATTATCTAGCAGCTACATCCTGGTATTCCCAAAATACAGTACTGTCATGAACAGATTAGTTAGTTGTTATTCCGGTCTGAAAGGAGATGGATCTCCTGAATTTCTTACCACACTAACACCAGATGATCCAATTTCGATGGGATCACGAGTCTCCTGAACTTCCATGGAACCTTCCAAAGGTTCACTTTCCAATAATAAAGACTGATCATTCGTCACAGACAACTGGTCATTCATTAAAGGCAATTGTTCACTTCCAAATGAAGTTTGGTCATTCTTCAATGTTGACTGGTCATTCCCTGATGACAGTGACCTTTCACTCTTCAGATGAGACTGGTCACTCTTTATAGAAGGTTCATCATTCCCTGAAGAAGGTTCATCATTTCTACATGGCGTCTCGTCACTTCTCAAAGGAATGTGTTCACTTCCCAATGTAGACTGATCACTTATCAAAGGCGATGAGTCATTACTTAAAGGTAATTGGCCACTACTCGAAGTATGACCATTTGACCAATTCTCAGTCCCAGACATAATAAAGTATATCCTAGGCACCTGACAGTAAAAAAGGTCTTGATTACTGGTAAGCCTGACCATGTATCTCTTCACCAATTAATGTGGTTGACTAGGTGGGATTTTCCAAACAAACACAAATACTTCCTTGTTTGTTTACATAAGTATGACAAAGGTTGTGGTTTTCCCACACATTCTTTTTGTGTCTGGAAATGAAGGCTAGCAC